GGAGCCCCGAGGGGCACCCCTGTTGGTTTTTCAAGCAAGGCAAACACCCTAGTTCAGAAGCCAGCACGGTGGCCCCTCCTTGGCCACTCGGACCATTCTACCCACAAGACATCAGTGTGATGGATGGTGAAGCAATGGCGTTTATTGCAGGAGAATTTGACCTTTTATAACCTAGGGTCATTGTGTTACTCCCATCTGCTCACGTCACACTTAAGTGCTATTGGCTAATTACAGAAGGTTTAACTATCCTAACAGAGAGGGGTTTTTGCTAACTTTCTGTTACATCCCGAAATCTTCCGCATCGCTATACCCTAGACTACAACACACCCCAGCCCCACAGTCAGGCACTGGCCCAGCCCCACAGTCAGGCACTGTCCCAGCCCCACAGACCGGCACAGGCACTGTCCCAGCCCCACAGACTGGCACTGTCCCAGCCCCACAGACTGGCACTGTCCCAGCCCCACAGACTGGCACAGGCACTGTCCCAGCCCCACAGACTGGCACTGTCCCAGCCCCACAGACTGGCACTGTCCCAGCCCCACAGACTGGCACAGGCACTGTCCCAGCCCCACAGACTGGCAAAGTCACTGTCCCAGCCCCACAGTCCATCATGGGCTCTCGCTGCCCTGCTCACATCACTACCCAATGTGTTTCCATTCAACACATTTTCCCCTTTGAATTTCACGGTTAAAACAAAAGCTTTAAAAGCAAAGATTAGGAACTAAGCTGATACTCATGTTAGCATCAAGTGCCTCATTTCAGTGAATAACTGCTAAACTGAATTTAAATTTTCTAGCCAAGGAGGAAGGTTCCTCATTTCAAACCCGAAGTATCAGGTTGGTGCAGCCAATTTGCACAGGAATTAACATCTTGGGCTCCCGCATTTGCCCTCCCCCACAGATCCCTCCTCTCAAATCTATCGGATGCTGAAAATCACATTAATATGAATCAGCTTCACGGTGGCTTGTTTCTAAATACAGAACGCTGACATGTCACCTGCATAGTGTGCCTGACATGCCGTCAGCTCCATAACGAGCCTGAGCACACGCAGATAAGGTAATTTGCAGAACTGTGTCATAAACTGCATTTATTTTGATTTAGAGCCTTGTCCCTGCTCTGCCCACTGGTATTTCTCCTAAAATTCCCAACCTACTGCACCTGTCAAACAGCAAGACTTTTTAAAATCAAGAAACTAAAAATATTTTCTGGGTCCCCTGCCAGGTAGAAGGGCCACTCACAGCTCACCACAGTCACAGGTTTGTGGATCTCAGTCCTAAACCAGTGCAGAGCACAAGGTCCAACACTCTCCTAGAGAGCAGGCTGGCAATGCAGAGACCATCTCCTCCAGGATGTAGGAACCCACTGTGGTGTCTCAGCCCCTGGCCAGCTGGAGTCACACAGCGCCTGGCACTGCCCCTGAGGGGAGCCAGGGAAGGACAGCAGTCAGCTGGGGCACAAGCAGAGCTCATGGAGGTGCCCAGAGCCTACCTTCTCAAAGTACTTGACCTCGTACTCGGTGCCATTGGCAGTCAGGAAGCCTGGCTCCTGCCAGGACAAGGAGACGCTCTTCTGCTCCACCTTATCCGTGCGGATGTCAGTGACAGGAGTTGGTGCTGAAAATGCAGAGAGGAAATGGGCAATGAAGGGTGCTGCTTCAGGAAAACTTCAAACAGCTGCAGAGTGTGTGGCTTCCACAGACACCAGTCCCCTCTCTCTGAATCTCCCTCCCTGATATGAGTGCATCCATTTAGTTCATCCACTGCAAGATGCACTTGCCAGTATTCCCATTTTAACCAGGTGTGGCTCCAAACAAGTCTCCGGCCTACGCAGGCAGCAGTTCAGAGCCCTCAGGCACAGCAAAAGCTACATGGGGACGTTATTTACAGCTTGCCCTACTTCCCAAGAAATCAGGACATTCCCTGGACCCACCTCTCTCCCACCAAGACTCCTGTGGAGAGGAACAAGTCCCTAGAAAGTAAACTTAAGTATCTGTGAAATTTTGTATTTATTACTTAGCTCATTAATCTTTGCTGAAATAAAAGGCCCTCATGATGTTTTATTCATGGGGATTTGCTCCTTGATTCCAAGTCCCTTCCTGTGAGAGGAGTCAGAGGGGCTCCTGAGCAGTTCCCATTGCCCACACACAGCTCCCTCTGCTGTGACACACCCCATGGTGTGGGACACAGTCAAACATCATCCCCCAGCACTTGCCTTGGGTCTTGCTCCTGTAAGATAGGCTAAGTGCTCCTTACTGTGTATTCCCATCAATAAAATATCACACAGCTGCCCTCCTGCATCTCTGAATCCAGGAAATGGACTGGAGAGACCTGAATGCAGGGTCTTGACTGTTAACAAAGTCACCAGGAAAAATCCTGCTCACTCACAGATGTGCTTTAGAGCAGAGCCCATGGTACATGACAGAAAAGTAGGTGCCAGCCTCAAACATGTTTAAAAAACATTAAAGAAAATCACACAGGCTATAAAGCATTTCACACTGTGAAAAAAAATGTGTTTCCCATCAATATTTTAAGCTCTCCTATCATTGCCTCCATTCGAAAAAGCAAACATTAAATTATTCACCACTCTGCCTGATTTTATAAACTCCATTCCCCTGTACATGGGTTTTCTCCTCTTGATTAACCAGCGTAGCAGCAGAAGAGGCATAAAACTACATGTGGCACCTGGTCCCTCCCCAGAACATCTTGCTGCATCCAACAGCTGCACTCGGCAAGGGATGCCCCTGCACCCTGCCCTGCCTGAGCCAGCTCTCCCTTCCCTCACATCCCAACACAGAACATGCCCTGGCCACCATCCCAGGCAGCTCCTGCCTCAAAGATCTCCAATCCGAAGCGGAGAAGCTGCCTCACCAGTCAAAACACATTGGATTTCTACCTGAGAAAGAAGTTCAAGGTGCAGAGTCCTTGTTCATACTTGAAGAAGGAAATGGGAGCCTAAGAAAAGCGTTGACAACATAATGTGGAAATGCTACATGTGGCAGGCAGCCTGTTCAGGGCAAAGACCCCAGCAGCTCAGACATGTGCCCCAGAGCCAGCTCATCCTGTGGCCCCTCTGCCCCGTGGTCACTGAATCAGCCCTGGGCATACACAAGCAAATCTACTTTGGAGGACCAAATCCAGCTCCAACCCCTTCTCAGCCTCAGAAAGGAGGATGCATTCTGGCACTGGTTGCATTATTAATCAGCAGCAGATTTAAAAGCTCTTTAAGGCAGGAGCCTTGTATTCCTGCCGGGAATACAAATGACATGGGCCTGGAGTGCACATTTACATGGCTAATGCAGCTCCACTCCTGCAGGTGAACAGTTCTGCTCGCTCCTCAAACACTTTTATTTAGTCCCATGCTGAGGACAGATTAGAAAAAACACAGTATTAATTTTGCCACCTGCAGACTAAACTGCATCTCTTCTTCTCACTGCAATTACAAGGAACGACGGACAATTCCCTCTGGTGACTGCTGAAGGGGAAGGACAGCATGGAGCTGCACTTGGAGCTGGATTAGAGGAGCAGAATCTGACAGCTAAATAGGGTCTTGTTTCTTGTTTAATTCTTCCTCTGAACCTGCTTATCAGCAGACAGAGCTCCCCTGCTGCTGCAAACAACTTCTGAGACCACAGCATGACAGCCACCACAGAAGTCACCATTGCCCAGGCATCCCTGGAGTCTCCTTCCTCCTGACCTCTGGCCCCATCCAGCCCTTCTCTGGTGGGCTCTAGTGACAGGGGGCTGCAGAGTCAGGACTCCAAGAAGCGATGTGTTCAGAGGAGCAGCTCCCCACGCTGCCCCTGCCAGCTGTGGCTCCGTGTCCTGCCCACGCAGGGTCCCCTCCTCGCAGTGGGGTCTTACAGACAAATTCAGCTGTGAGTTTGTGACCACCTTCTCCCCACCTTCTCCCCTTCTTAGCTGATAGGCATGGTTTAACCATGTTAACCCTGTTAGCCAGTGGTGCAAAGGCAAGAGGAACCAGGGCACTGGTGCCTTCTGACAGGGCAGCCCCAGCCTGGCACTGCCCAGGAGGGGACACCCTCAGCAATAAAAACTGTCATTGTTCCAGGAAACTTCCGAGCCTCAGCTGCTTGGGTAATTCCGAGCCACCATCTGCATCTGGAGACTTGACAGCTCAGCAAGAGACATTGATTTTGAACAGATTACAGGATTAATTATCCACATTCTTTAGGTGCATTTCAGAAGAGCACGGTATCGAGTAAAAGGCTGAGATTTCCCCCTTCCCCAGGGGAAAAGCTGTTTTCAGCAGCCAAGGCATGGGCTGGCATCACTGCTTGCTGCTTTGCTCCCTAAGAGAACAGGGCACTCACTGCCCACACTCGGCCTCTTTTGCCCTGGTGGGAGCTCCAGAGCATCAGTCCGTCTGTCTGACCTCTCCGAGCTCACCACACCTCAGCCTGTTCTCTGTCCCCCTGGCCTGAGCTCAGGAGGCAGAAGATCTTCCCAGAGCTAAATCCATCCTTGAACAGCAAAGATCCTAACGAGGAATGACACCTCTGCTGAGGAGCAGTCTGCAGCACAGCATCCCCCAATGGAGCCACAGGGATTATGGCATGAGGCAAGAGAAAGCAACAACCTGCACAAAACCATTTGATCAAGCGGTGGGAAAATTATTTATAACAAGATCAAAGTTTAATCTCTTCAGATGAAATTGTTGGCCAATTCCTGCCAAGAGGTACCTGAGGATCATCTGTCTCCATTAACTGTGGCTTGGGAAAGGGTTTTCATGCAAATTAATAATGTAACCACAGAGGAACGGACAAGGACACAACAAGCCAGAGCCAACTGTCCTTCAGCACAGCAGACAGCAGAGGAGGGACCTGACTGTCCTTTGGCACAGACAACAGCTGAGGAGGGACTCCTCAGCCAGCCCCTCTGGTCAGGAACCTGTCACAGGCATGGGCACTCACTTCCCCTTACCTGAGGGAACAGAAATGCCAAACTGGAAATAGAAGGGGACAATTACAGTAACAATTGTGTCACAGACCAGTGCAGGATAGAGAAAGGAAATCAATTTTTTTGGTTCTGAAGGATAGCCAACATTTGAATTATCTGTTTTAAAGAGCTTTTTGATGAATGAGCTGAAAATGTTGCTTCATCAAAGGGGTTTTCTTTTATGATTTGTAAATTCAAACTGCAGCCAGATCACAGAGCAGACTTGTCCCTTCACAGCCCAGGCTGTCACCACGCTCACTCCTGAATCAACTGGAACCCCCTGAGAGTGCCACCGGCCAGTCTTCATCAGCCCCTCTGCCACACCTAAGCACCACATCTGTGCCACCAGCACAAACCCATCAGAAACAGGGCGCTGCCACAGCACAGGCGTGACCACACCACCCACACACTCTGTGTCCTCCCAGCAGCAAAGCCACCAAAATCCTGGCAGCAGAGCAGAGCTGACCCACCTGCGCGGCCGGTGGACACGGTGACCTCGGCATACTGCTGGCCGGCCAGCGGGCTCACGGCCGAGACGCCGTTGAGGGCCACCACGCGGATGGTGTAGTTGACGTGGGGCAGCAGGTTCACCAGGGTGACCGTGCGCTCCACCAGCCCCGTCTGCTGTGGCACGAAGCCCACGCTGCTGCCGCACTGCTCGCAGCGGCCCGGGGGCACCGCGGGACAGCGGCCACACCACAGGCTGTAGGTCAGGTCGCTGCGGCCGCCCGCGTCCGCAGGGGCACTCCACTCCAGCACCAGGGATGACTGCCGCAGGCTGTACACCAGGTTCCTCGGGGCAGAGGGTGGACCTGGAAGCAAAAGAGGGTCTGTGAGCAGGTGTTGGGACAAAGAGAAAGGTCTGGGAGCAGTGGCACGGGCACTGGAGGTGGAGGACAAGAGCACGGTACTGGGCAGCCAGAGCCAGGGGTGGCACAGGGGGACGCAAAGGCATTGGTGCAGCACGGTGGGATGTGGGACAGGGGATCCCAGCTGGAGGGACGCATGTGCACCACAAGACACAGCTCACAGTGTGCACAAGAAGCACCTGGCTGGAGCCAGAACTTCCCTGAGCACCAGTCGGGGCCGGGAGCCCGCTCCTGGTCAGACACTGCCCAGCCGTGCTTAGCAGAGATGGAGGGTTCCTCGTGGCTGTGCTGGCAGCTGGACAGCATCCATCAGCAGAGCAGCTGGAGTCCAGTCCAATTAACAAGAGGCCATTTAATTAAAACCTGTGAACTCTAGTGACTAAATGACTGTGCCCCAGTTTTACCAGGGAGTCTGCAAGCCTGACTGCGCATCTGTCTCATCAGCCTGCAGCCTGTGAGCTCTGGCTTGTAGGGACAGCTCCTCCATGCCCTCCTCACTGCAGCATCACCCTCGGGACCCTGAGGTGAGCACACAGTGGCAGGGGGAGCTCGGGACAGCCCTGGCTCCGAGCTGCAGGACAAAGTGCAAGGAGCAGCCGTTCCAGCGAGACGTACGTGTGCAGGAGGCAGATGGTGGGTCTGAAGGAGACCTGGAGTAATTGGTCTGGCACAAACAGAAAGTGGAGGCTTCCCCATGTGTGAAGCTGTGCTCAGGGCATGGAGAACAGAGAGGGAGACGGAGGGAAAGCTTGTAAAACCCTGGAAGGCAAGCTGAAAGAGAGAAGAGATGGTGTTAAGGGGAGAGCAACATAGGACAAATGGGGACACGCCTGATGACTGCATTTCCCTGTTTCCTTGGATCTCCTCTGCTGCCACTGGCCAGCAGACACCACCCTCTAAGCTGCCTTCCCTGAGCACCTGCATGATCCTGGCACCAAGAAAGACATCCCTTGGTTTTACCCAGAAGAGACATGTGGGTTCTGCAGCTCTGCACTAACTTTCATTGTAAATGCCATTCCCTATCTAGGGTGCTAGATAAACCAGGAAAAAATAGCAAATGTTAAAATTACTCCCAAAACTTCCAGTTCCCTCTTTAGAGCTGAGGAACCAAATCAAAACTAGCAGTATATTCATAGAATGGAGACACAGTTTGCTTTTTCCTTTAGTTAGGCAGCACTGACCACCATACAGGGCAGAAACATCACTGCATCAGGCAGGACGGGAAAATCAATCCTGTTTACAAACATGAAGGGATTCAAGCACTAAGCCCAGAGCCCCCATCCCCTGGATGTGCCTGACACACAAATCTGACATCTCATCATAGGAAACTGAACATTTCCAATTAGAGGTGTCTTTCAGACTAGTCCACCCTGTTTACTAACAGCCAGAAGTAAGTTTACAGACGTGCCTGTCATTAATAATGGCACAAAATGCCCCAATCTGCACGTCCCAGGAGCAGGCACCACAACCCTGTGTGGTCCCACAAGGAGCCAAGGGCTTTACTTGCTTTTACTTTTTTTTACTTTTTTCCCTTAGCTGTCCCAAACTTGCCCTTGAGAAGAACAAAAGTGCCCAGCACATGTGATGCATCGTATGTGTGTCTCTGTTTCTTTTTTCAGAGAAACTCCCACCTTCTTCTACCTCATCCTATGAGTGTTTTTCTTGGTTTCCAGCTGGTTTAGGTGTCCCTGTGATTTCACAGTGCTTATTTCGGCAGTGGGTATGTGACAGCTCTCAGGAGATCAGGTCTTCAATTTATAGAATGAAATTCTCTTTTTTGTCCATTGCTTTCTATCCTGTTCCTGGTCTTCTGGTGCTACCACAACTAAATTATTAAACAATAAAATTAAATAATTCATTGCCCCAGAGCCAAAGAAAAGCAGCCAGATGGGTCAGATGGATCAACTGCCTCTCTCCAGCTCCAGCACTGCTGACCACAGAAGCTCCTCAAGCGGGTCTGATCCATGTCACTGACAGAGAGAGCACGTTCCCCCCTCAACGTAACATTGTCTGCACACTGCCAAACCAGCAGCAGAACCAGCTACACTGATTTGTGCAGCAGGCTGGCCCATTACCCAGCATGAATAACCACGGGAAAGGCTTCTCTTACCACCTCATCTGACACGGCTCCTCAGACAGGAGCCGGTGTCTCTGCTCAGAGAGAGCAATGTCCTCTCTCATTCCCAGCCTGTGCCACAGGGAAAGCAGGGGAAATTGAGGATGCAGAACTAGTAAATGCATGGTTTCCTACTCCAGTGGCAAAGGACAGCTTTCAATTTCCCTTCCCAGTGAAGTCCTACCAGCAGCAGTGCCGTGTGTGCCAGCGTGAATTAATAACAGCTGCAGCCTCCCTCAGAATGCCTATACAGGCATTTATAATTAACACTACAACTCAGCTGTCTTCCAAAATCAATTCCTTTCCAGTTTTGGTCATGGAATTGTATTTGACAAAGTTCCTCTGCTTTAATGTGTGTTAATTTTCTCTGTTGAAGCAGACATTCATGAAAATGCTCTTTAGGAAAGCCACAGCTGGGAAAACAGGCAGCCAGCACTGGGGGTGCCACAGCAAGAACTGGGACAGCACCACAGGTTGAGGCACCCCAGCAGCCTGACAGTCCCCCCCAGCAAAGGACAGACTGGAAGCACTGGGCCCCCCCAGCCCTCAGACTTGCATCCAGCCCTCCCTGAGCAACACTCCAACATGCAATCTCACCACTGTTCACAATCATCCAGGCTGTTCACAATGCATCCTTTGCAGAGCTCCTGCCTGTCCCTCTCTGGTCCAGGCTGGCACAGCTGTATTCCAGCTATCTTAATCCCATTATTGAGCCGAGCAAGTCACTGTTTATTATGTTCCAAACATTTCACCAAGTGCCTCAGGCCAGTGGGAAGGAGGGGGCAGCAGCCCCAAGGAGGGACAGACGCTGCCAGCTGTGCTCATGGACGAGGACATGCAGCCCAAACCAGACAAGGGCACCTTGTGTAAATCGGTGACAGAACAGAGTTTCAGTGGTGCACTGAGGTGGCCAAAGAGCCTTGCTGACAAACGTTCTCGGGCAGCAGAATGGCTCCTGCCCCCTCCATGCTGAGTTTGAGATCTCACCTTGTCTTTCCACACCAGCTGTGATCAATAGTGCAGGCAGAGGGAAGGGACAGCAGCCATGTCCAATCCCTGTGCCAGTGTGAGAGGGACAAAGTCAGCATGAGGAGCAATCAATGCAAGCACTGAGTCAGGTTCCTCTCACCTCGGTTCCATGTCTGCCAGGATGGGAACTTTGGGCTGCAGCACCCTAGAGAATCCAAAAGCACCTTGCCTTCCACACAGTTCAGAGATTTTAAACAACTGTTTTTCAACAAGCAGCCTATGATCCAACACACTGCCAGCAATTCCAACACCTCTCGAAAATGCTACTCTGTAATTTTTGTCCTTGTTAAATAATTTGTGGAGTACTAAGACAAAAACTTGTGTCCAAGGGCAAGATCTTTGTTCATCCCCAACAATGAGCTCTTAACAGCCGAAATTAAATTTACTGATTTACAGAAGACAGTCTTGAAATATCTAACAGAGTGCATTTGATTAATCCAGCCAGGACTGACAGAACCTCATTGCTATTTATGCCAGAATGTTCCTCAAGGACACACTGAAGCAGGCACATCCGCTGAGCCAACTGCAATTCACTCTTGTCTCTCTCAGCTCCTAATGCATCCACCCAAGGGCTCCCGGTGAAGGACTGGCTGACCGCCTCTCCAGCACCCTGCAGAGCACCTCAGCTCACACAAACCCCCTCAGCTGTGGGCAAGACACATCCCCCTCTGTATTTCAACAGCCCATCCAACACGTTCATCCAGCAGCCAGATATCCGTGACCTTAACCTCACAGGAATTCTGCAAACAACTTGTGGTGCTTGTAATTGTCAGAGTAGTTTGCTCTGAAATTAAAGGTCACGGAGCGATTTGTGTCTGAATCTGTCACAACTTCCATAGCTGTAATTATTTCAGACACACTGTGAACCAGCAATGTAACGTGCAATCCCGAATGATGAATGCCTCCAAGCCTGGTCATTACTCCAGAGAGGCTGAAATGAGAGCTCGTTTTACATGGCTGTTCCATGAGCGTGGCTGGTGGGCAGCAGCATCTACCACCCAGCTGATCCCACCTCCAGAATTCCTGTGGGATTCCCTCCAATTCCACAGGCACAGGGCCTGGCTGTGGGAAGCCTGTGGCTGCATCAGTGATGAAAGCAAAACCTGGTGCTTTGTGCAACTTACAGAGCCCCAGGAGGAAAAATAAACGTATGCATAATCCTCCAGCATCAGTCAGCAGATAAAATACACTCCAGGAGCACTTACAGGTTTGTAAGCTAATGTATAAAAGATGAAACAAATCAAAAACTCCAAGTGCTGTACATTTGGATCCATCTTTTTTGTATTTAAACAGAAAAGCAGACCTCGAGCTTAAGAAGGTATCTTTGCAGTAACTAACAAAATATTGTAACTCATTATTTTAAATTTCTCTAACTTTCAACTGAACTGTTTCTTTTCCAGCTAAGGACCCTGCAGTGACACAATGCTGTGGTGGGACATATCCAATGGACAGAAGAGCATCTTACTCATCCCACATCCCACTCCCACCCTAAACCTTTGCTTTCTCCCTAAGAGAGATACAATAAATCTTCCTTGTGTCTTGTCCATAGCAGGATGAATTCACCAAGCTGCTCAAAAAATCCATCCAGAAATGCAGACAGAGAGGGGGAATTTCTGTTATTCCCCATTCCAAACAGCACCTGTGGACAAGCCTGTCACTGAAGCCACCTCCTGTGCAAGGTTTCCCTCCCCAGAAAAGCAACAACACTCATCTCTTTAAAAGATCATTTAAAAATCCTGACAAAGCACTAGTAACTCTTTCAACTCTAAACTCTTTTCAGTGATGTCATTCCCATGTAGACAAGGGACACAGCCACTAATCAGAGCATCACTGAGCAGACCGAGCAGGGCTCCAGGTGCTGGTGGGGGGGAGCAGAGCATGGGACACAACAGCAGTGCAGAGCTGGCTCCTGCCAGTGCTGTCAGAAGTGGAGAAAAATGAATTGAGGAGGAAACTTCGCCAAGCCACAAATTTACGTTTCTGTCAAAGAAGAGTAGCTATTTTTGGTAACTGGTCTCCATCATATTAATTCAATGTCTGGTTTAAGTTGTCTCACTTGCAGCAAATCTGGCTGGTAAATATTAACCTTGAGCTTTGTTGAAATTCTCCTTGCAGATATTACTAGGGATTGGATAGGAAAGATGAAGCAGAAGACAACTTCGAATGAAAATGTCAGGCAGATCCCCCACATCATGGCTTCATTTACACAAAAGCTATTGCTACACACCACAAAACAAACGACACAAAGGGCTGCAGCTCACGCCTGACAAAATTAATGGCAAAAAGATATCAAAGCTGAGAAGCAAAGTGAAAACAAAACAGGGATCATCCACAGAGCACAGGACTGCCCACTTGTCTGCTGTGCATCATCTGGGAATGGGTTTTATGGCCAGAGTAAGCACAGAGCAGCATCTGGCTACAGAGATACATCAGACAAGACAAGCAGTCTGAATGCATTTTCAGTGACAAACTCTCCTCTCCTTCGTGGGTGGATGTTAAACAGACACTGAAGTTGTGCAGTCCCACCCCAGAGACGGCTGCACTCCACCAAACGCCAAAATGATTCATCAGAAACATGCAAACTTGTCAGGAGTGCTGGGGTGCCTCTGGAGCAGTGGTGCAGGACAGAAGGATGGACATGGAAAGACTCAGCTCTGCTGCAGCCAGAATTAGGAGAGTCATAAGTCCTATTGGCCTTTTTTTCATCTCTCCTAATTTCTGAGCGAGGACACAAAGCTTCTCTTGGTACAGGATGATTTCAGTAGTTAAATCAGGGTTACAGGGACACCAGCTCTGCCACCAAGTTTTAAACACCTTCACCAGCTCATCTCCTGCATCCTCCACTGTCACCAGCACTACAGTCCTGCTGCCACCACCCCCCTCAAGCACCACCCTGGCCCCCATGCCACCCTGCAGGCACCAGCAAAGCTCCCACCACCCCCAGTCCTTTCAGGCCCACAAGAGCTGCAACAGAACCTGTGGCCAACAAGTTTTGTAGGCCAGCAGGATTACACCCTCTGAGCCCTCCAAAGCCACCACCACAGGCTCACAGCGGTGGAGCCAGGTGTGTTGTGCCATCCCCTGGCTGGTTTAGCACCCCCAAACTCCCAAAGCATCCACCTGCATCCAGCTCAAGGGATTTTGTCCGCATTGAAGAATTTCCACAGCCTTGGCTGCTTTCATCAGAAATCTTTTAAAGCTATTCATTTAGCACTATGCTAATGCAGGGCTGCAAACAAACCCAAAACTTTCAACCCTTAAAAACTATTTTCTGATATTTGACCAGACATCAGACACTGCTCCACAGAGAATGACTAATGACCTGCTTTCTGTGAGAGGGGAGAGAAACTTAATTATGTCCATTAAATTACTTCAAATATTTTTCCTCAGAGAATATGAATTATTTAAACTCAACACAGAGAAACCTGAAACATTAGCAAAAGCCTTCTGGGACTCACTATGTAAATCCCCACTCCAAACAGATGTGGAAAGCATGGCAAGCTGCCACACAGCCACTGAAGCAATCAACAGCACTGAGATTTCAATTTGATAGCTTTAATAAGGTCTTCTTAAGGAGAAGCCACTGCCCAGAGCACCGGGAAGGGCATCCCACCACCTGGAGGCAGGCGGCACCATCAGCACACTGAAAAGCCTGGAGGTGCTCCTGAAGGGCAGATCCAATTCCATGGAATCTCCTACTGCACCACCTGCCTCCAGCGTGGGGGAACTCTCCCTGGCTGGGACTATTTAGCTGTGCTCCTCTCAGTCTGGTTTTGAGGGGAAAACAAAGACATCCAAGGTATCATCTGGACACCAGGCATGGGTAGCAAAGGGTCTTTTCAGACGAAGAATGCACTCCCTTGAGGGATTGACACCCTGGCAAGAAGGTGCCTGGGGTGGCATTAGCCCAGCAACTCTCTCTGTTCAGAGGCTCACACACTGTGAGGAAGAGCATGACAGCCAGCATCCCACACCTGGCTCTCAGCTGCCTTTGAAAGCGAGATGAAGTGGTCACAGCCCCAGGTTCGTTAGTGGGATGCCTTGTTAAGGCAGAGGGTATGTCCATTTTTGCAGCTGTCCTTAACCATAACCTTGTGAGCTGTAAAGCCACCAAATTATTAAACCGTGTCCAAAGCATATAAATAGGGATATTAATGTTCTAGAGTAATTTTAACATTACAGATAAAGCTGTGGGAAATGCCTGTCAGCATCCAGAGCTCTGACACATCTGCCCAACCATGAGCAGCAGAGCAGCCCCATGCCCTCCAAATGCCACCCTCCAAACAAACATCTGGCCGTTCACTAGGAAGCTGCCATGATCTAAAGAAATATATTGCTGACAAAAGAAAATTCCACTTGTCCAAACTGTGATCAGGCACCAGACAGGTCTGGCAGCAGCATGGACTGACACAGACACTGCCAGGACACCAACTTTTACCTCTGCATCCCCCATCCTTCTCCTCAAAGCCAGGGCTGCACATGCACTTCCCTACGGGGACCAGCCACTCGCCCTCCGCGCTGCAGTGCATCCGAGGGGGATTATCCACATCCAATTCAGCATGGGACACACAAGTGCCCTTAACTTCCACCAAGGTCACAAAGGCCGTCTCTGCCACCGTGTCTGGGAACATGGCCAAGTTCTGCACGGTGGTGAGACACTTCTTGTAATAGACCCGCACAGAGACCAGTGCCACACAGGCGCCCACGTCCTGGAAGCCCAGGTGGAAGCCTCTCTTGCTCAGGTGCCCAATCTCCCTCAGCTCGGTGTTCAGCTTCATCTTGCGCTCGCCCAGGTCTCCCTGTGTGAAGCTCTCATCAGCAGCAATGGTGTCGATCTTGGTGTGCTTGCTCTCATGGACACTCCGGCCCAGGTCAGAGTCAGACTCGACGTAGTACAAGTTGAAAGTCTCCTTGCAAGTGCTCGTCACACCAGGGATGCTGTTGCAGTCCCGCAGGGTGAACTTTAGCTCAATGAAGATCCTCTGGCCGTCACGCCTGGCAATCCAGCCCGTCTGCAGCCAGTTGTTCTGGTTTGGCTCCATGACATTGCACACCTGGTACGTGCGTATTGGCTTGTAGGTCTCATCCACGCCACTGATCTCTTCCCACTGGGGACAGAACACAAAGGGCTGTAACACACCAACCAGTATAAATGTCACTAGCACAAGCCTCCCCACCACAGGCCATTGTGTTTTAGGTACTGGAAATCCTCAGCCCACCAAATCCACCAGCTGCAGTAACCCTGCTCCTGGAGCACCCAACACCTGAGCTCTCTGCAGAGGTGAAGATGCAACCAGTAAGGCAGCACTTGCAGCAGATCTCAGAAAACAAGCCCTGATTCTGGACACATCCTCTGCTGAGGAGCCAGAGCCTTCATCTCCCACACACTCCTCAGATTTTCTGTCCCTGGGAAGGTGCATGCACACAGTGTTACCACATGGTGTAATGCTGGATGGGGTTGGGCCACCCAGAGAAATCCAAGATGTCTAAGGAGATGTGACACCAGACACACCATCACACAAGGACATCAAACACCTTCATGAACAGCAGCAGCTTCTCTGCCAGGAGAAGTTTTAGCTGCAGCAGGACAAATCCTCCAACTGCAAGTGAAACAGTGTTTCCCCAAAGCTATCAGCAGAGATTCTGATCAGTGAAATGATGATTCAACCCTCACAGCCTGAATGACAACCTGGCAATTTCCCAAAGCAATTCCTTCTGGGAGTAAACTTATGCAAAAAAGTCAAAACATACACAGAACAGAGTTTGCTCTGCAAACAAACAGTTGTGTCACACAGGTGACTCCAGGACCTACCGCTCTTTCCTCTGAGTACTTTGTTTCCACTCGGGAAAATGAACCCAAAGCTGCAAGGAGCACAGCTCCAAGCTTACTGAAAGTGGCTTTAGATGGATACCAGCAGCAAAGCGAGGGGCTGAGGGAACAAAGGTTACATGACACAGCTCCCAGTGACTTCCCCAGCCACAGCCCTCAGATTCTAAGGGCTTGACTGACCCTTGGTGCTGGTGTGCAAACCACAACACAAAGCCTTAACTAGCCAGTGTTTATTGGCTTGTTTTAGCAGTGTAAAATCCATTTTGAGGAGGGACTCCACGCCAGTCATGGCGCTCACACAACCTCACCCCTCACTCTGCTCCCAGGGGCTCCTGGCACTGATCATGCTAAGCTGCTCATCGACCTTGAACGAGGAGGTTCCTGTGGCTGCCAGCCCCCAGCCCCGCTCTGTGGTAAGCAAAGCGCTCATACCACAGGATGTCAGATGCTGCTGAGCACCGAGAGGCTGATGGAGCCTTTCACCCTCTCTGGTGGTGCAGAGGGACAGTCCCACCCCATGCTTACCCCGTTCGATGGGTGTGAGGTCCAGCCCAGCTCTGCCTGCGATTCCTTTGAGTCCAGCAGGACAACTGCAGGGAAGACAGCATGTTAGGAAAACCACTGACACAGGAAATGCTGGTAAAACCCACCCAGCCCATGCTCTGGGAAGCTTAGTGCCATGCTGTGCCAGGTCCCAGGGTGTGGGAGCAGCTCCCACCCCGGCTCCACCAGCCATGGCATCACCGCATGAGCACCAAGAGCCACCACGCTCTTGCTGCACACCCAGAACAACCTCACAGATACCTGACCAATGCCCTAACGACTGTGTCATCCCAGGGACGATTCCTCGGACACCAGAGACAACACTGCCATTGAACCATGCCCACAGCGTGCGGATGCTGGAACGGAAAGGTACCAGCAGCTGCTTTGAAAGAGGGATTTTCCCTGGCAAACGACAGCCTTTTCCCACAAACAGCCAATTCTATCTTTGACAGGAAGAGCTATTTCCCTCAGTTCACAGCTTCACGATCCTTCCACAACCAGCAAACAGCCACAACCCCGACCTGCAGGTTGAGCCTCGGGCTCAGACACCGGGAACAAGGGGCGCGGCGGCGCATCCCCGGCGGGCACAGCCCTGACGGTCGTTCTGCTCCGGGATCAGTGGGGTCCGTCCGTGCCAGCGAAACCTCCGCGACCACGGACCCCAGGGCTCGAACCGCTCCCTGTCACGGTACTGGCAGCGCGCTGCCCTGTGCCTCCGGTGATCGCGGGGACCGGGACACCCCGGGCTGACCCGGGCACTCCACGGGGACCCGTCCGTCTTCTCCCGCTCCTCCGGCAGGTCTCCGCGCCCCGGAGAGCGGCGGCACACCCGCCCCACAACCCGTCCGGCCAGCCGCGGAGCGACCCCACCGCCGAGCCGAGCCGGCCGCTCCCGGTACCGCAACGCGGGCAACCAAAGTCGGGGTCGATGCGGCGACACCGCGCGCCGAGGCAGCCGGGCACGGGGGACACGGCGGTGCCGGAGCACCGGGGACACGGCGCGGCCGGGGGCGCGGGAGCGCCGAAGAACCGGGAAGCGCCGCCGCCCCGGCCGGCTCACCCTGCTCGGCGGCGGCGCGGGGCAGCACCGGCAGCAGCACCGGCAGCGGCGGCGGCAGCGGCGGCAGCAGCGGCGGCAGCAGCAGCAGCACCGGCAGCAGCAGCAGCGGCAGCGCCGTCTCCATGGCGCCGCGACTCCGCGCCCCGCGCCGCCGCCGCGCTCCCGCGCCGCGCCCCGCCCCCGCCACCGAGCGCCAACCGCCGCCAGCGGGGCGGGGCCTCGGCCAGCGTGACCAATGGGGAGCAGGGGCGGGGCAAAGAGGGCGGGGATAGGGCGCGCGGGCGGTCACTCCCCAGCCGGCTGAGGGAGGGCGGCCCCGCTGAGGGCAGCGGGCACCGGGACGGGATTTGGGCCGCTGGAACTTCTGCTCAGGGCACGGGCAGCCCTAGCCGATGCCGAGATGTTGCGGCCGTAATGAGCAGTGCTTTGCCACCGCCGTGCCCAGCTGATGTTTGCTGCTGATAGCAGTGTTGGGTTGGAGCGGTTAGAGCCTCCTTAGCGGGGCAGGCCTCGTCCCTGCCCTGGCCTGGCAGCGATGCCCAGGAATGTCGGTTTTGTCGAGCCCTATGTCCTGCCTTTCTGGGTTGAAATTTTACTCCCGGCTTCATGTCGAGGTCCTCCAAGCCCAGAAGCTGCTGTGAAAGCAAAAATGCCCAGGCAGAAAGGCCAGGCAAAGGCAGCCCTAGGCAGGGCGAGTCCTGCCAGGCCTGCACCCAGGACAGTGTTGTGGCTGCGGGGGCTGTCTGCGCTGGGGGAGGCAATTCTTCAATTCTTGTTTCACCAAAGCCGAGGTATTTGCCACCAGGCCCACAGGCTTCTGCATCGGGGGAGGAACTCAACGAGGTTTGATTATTACTAATTGTAGGTGTTGCAGGTTGCTGCAAAATTTAGTCAGGCTGAATGCCCGCCGGTTTTCCCCCCCGATGGCAGATACTGTGATACCAAAGCAAACATTTGTTCCTGTGGGATGTTCCTTTTGCTGTGATTATGTGTCAAATGTAAAATATTGCAGGTGTGAAGTAAAAGCATTGAGCCTCCATCTGGCCAGGCTAGTGTAGCCCATGCCAAACCCCTGCTCACAGGAGCTGGTGCTCGGTCCTCAGGCTGAGCCCAGCTGGACATTTGGAGTGAGAAAATGTTTCCAGTTCTCCATTTCTCAATTCTTTTGCAAACATGGTCATTTCCTTTCCTCTCTGTGTTAACTGGTGAGGAAGCTCCAATCCATTTATTAATGTTCTTCCCATCTAGGAAAGCTCAGCATGGATCAGTGCTTCGTGTGCTGCTGCATCCGCACTGGAGCCACTCCTGCCATGCACCTGCAGCCCAGGAGCTTCCGGTGAGACCAGGAACAGCCATGCTGACTGGGGGCATGAGTTCATACAGTCAAAACCCTCCTCCCATCATGTTACAGAGCAGGGAAGCAAAAGACAGGGTTTATTTATAATCTTCCTCAAGTGGAAACCAAAAGAAGTGACCCGTTATTACTTAAGATTTCTCAAGCCACCCAGGAAGAAAAGTGATATTTAGTTGTCGTTAAAGGCTCAGAACTGCATAACAATTTCATGCTATGTTAACTTCTAGGTTTTCTTTCGCATATAAATTTTTAAGGAGCAAAATAGAAAAACCCAGGCACTTGACCTTTAATCACAGTTATTTGTGTGATCAGTCAGGTGTGGGAAAAAGCTAGTTTGTGCTTGAAAGATGCCCTTTAAAGCCAGATTGCTCTAACATGACACACAACTCTCACAGTGTAATATATGGGATGTCGCTTGCCTGCCTCCAGGCACAGCAGCCTCCTTTTCATACTCATGCACTGTGTCTTGCTGCTGGGACAGTGGAAGGTATCAATGTCATGAAGCAAATCAATCCAGACCCCTGGGACAGCTCCATTCACCACCAAGCTCCACAGGCATGTGCACTTCCTGGCACAGAGGGGCCAAGCAGGGAAGAGGACTTTGGAAGTATGTGGAGAATTTGATGTTAGATATGTTTTACTAGAAGAAAAGTCTGTCATGTTAAAAGCACACAGCTTTTCCATTTATCTGAAATTTTATTCCAAGCACTTATAAAATCTTGGTATTAGAACAGCCAGAGGTATTTTAATAAAGATTTTAAGTATCATGCTTTGGGAAAATGATCTCATGAATTTTGTTTCAGCAACAGCAGATGAAAAGTTTCTGCTGGTGTGAAGAAAACAGAAACAGAGCAGCCTTTAATGGACACTAGGATTTCTTCAGGAGCCCAAAGCCACACCAGGGACAGGACGGAGGGATACATTATGATGTTAAATTGTATCCCCATTCGTCCACCTAACCCAGACACAGGTTTTGTATTCTTAAAATTCCATCTCAGAGTAAAAGTGAGTGGAAAAGAAGCACCGAGTCTGTTATCAGAGACTGTACTTGCTCCCCCCCCGCATCGGGAGTTTTGACTACAGCACAGACAGACAACAAGAGACAGATCGCCTTGGCTTTCCAACTAGCCGGAGCAGAGAGGTCTTCCTGGACTGTTTTCTTTCCTTTTTTTGAAACGAATCGAACCTGCTCTGGACTGGGGACTCGGAGGAGCATCGGGAGCTTGCACCCGTGGACTACCGGGAGCCCAGCCTGGGCAGCGGCATTTTCCAGCGCCAGAGGGACTGATAACAGAGCGAACACCTACAGGAAAGAGACCCTCTGAAGTTTGTCATCTCTTCTGAAGGGCGAGAGGTTTTGTAATTTGATATCGTTCATTTTTGTGCTGGGTAGTGCTGTGCCTGTGAAATAAACAGGTTTTTTCCACTTCTCTCAGAGAAATCTCTTCCCGAACCAGTTGGGGGGTGGGAAAAAAAGGGCCACGTGGGTTTGCTTCCCAGGGGGAGCCCCACTGGAGGTTTTCTCCCAAATTTTGCCCTAAACCAGGACAGTCCCCGGGATGGCACTGCCCACCAGCTCCTTGAGTGGCACAACAAGGGGCCAGTATCTGCAGGCGAAGGAAGAGGAGTATGCAGGCTGTCTGGTCACCTCTGCTGCTCACATCCAGCTCTGGGGCTGTTGCCCTTCCCCACTCCTGTCTGGAACCTGCAGAGACAAGATCAAAGGGAAAGCAAAGACATCAGGTCAGCCAGGCTCCAGATTGTCAGGGGAACTTGTGCAAAGAGCGGGGCTAGCCCAGAAAAACATGTAATTGGCCGAGCTGAGCTATTACCTGCTGTAAGTGGAGACAGAAAGATAGTTTTGACACCACAATGAAAATAACCCTCCTGGAAAAAAAAAAAAAATCAATACAAACACCAAGGAAAGAGAATCAGAAACTGAGACCATCAATTCCTGAGATAAAGAGTTGAAAGTCTCAGTGGGAGGACAGCCAGATCTGTACTGAAAAACAAAACTTTACTTCTTTTGCTGACAAATTACTTTTTATGCTAAAGGACAAAGGAGCCAAGGGGATGCAGGCCTCGATGTACAACTGAAAGAGCAATCCTTGACAAAAGACGGAGCAGGCAAAAACTTCATGGAAGCTTTTGCACTTCTTTCTCTTCCACACTTGCAAGTATTTTTGTACAATGAAAAACAAAGGATTTCTGCAATTTTGTACTGGTTTTGGCATGTTACACAAATGCTCCAGGATTTCTTTGTCTTCTGCTGTGACAAGGGCAGAGCCAGAGCAGAGGAAGCAGCAGCAATACAGCACAAGTATTCCTGGCATTAGGGAATATCCCACAGAGGAAAGTGGCTCAGACAATCCGGTCCCAAGGGCACCTCACCAGTCTGCCACGCCTAGCTGATCCCAGGCCTCAGACACTGCTTCCCAGGGGCACAGCGCTTCATCACAGCCAGTGCTGGCCCATCCCTACTCATCCCCTCCTGCTAGCTGGCAGAAATCACAGTGAAAATGAAAGTTAATGTAAAGCTCCCCCATAAATCTCATGCTCAAAGCTGCACAGCCCAGCATCTGGGCTGCAAAGGGAAAACCCTTCTGCCTTCTGGGTTGTTTGTCTGCAAATACAAAGGAACCAGAGCTGTGCACTTGTTTTAACAGCTCTGTCTTTCTGTCAGATCTGTATTCTTTGCCTCACGATGTCTGCACTGTAAGTGTTTTGCAGCAGTTCTTTAGCTTTTAAGGTAATCACATAAAAGACCCTTGACTCCATAAACACAGCTAATCTGGGTAAATGCCTTTAAGCATCTTTACATTTCTTGCTAATGGATTTCCAGACAACCCACAGATATCCACGCTCTAGAAAATAATGTAAAATAGAGTGTCTAATTTTTTAAATGCCTCACATTCATCATATACTGAGAAAATCCAGAGCTCCAGGCAGCATAATACCATCACACTTATGTAAGTCGTCCCCCGTTCTGTCATCATCAGCATGAACCCCACCTTTGGCTGGGGCACAGATCCACTCAGTGTCAAGTTCCAGTTCAACCAGAGACAAATTACCACACGCTGTTAATTAGAGCTAGATAGGAGGGATCCAAGTGTCACAGTCTGGTGACAGAGACTGAAGGGCACATGGAGGCTCTGAGCACTAAGCTCAGGAGTTGTATGTGGGATCTGCTGCCCCTGGGAACAGTGGGAAGGCTCGTGGAGGAGGCAGGTCCTGCCCCTGAGAGATGCTTTGCTGGTGGTGCTGAGCAGAGGGCAGGATGCCAGCACCCCACAGGCTTCTTGCCCCTCAGTCTGCCCCTGTGGCTTCACTTGCTCTGCTTGAAAGGCTGAGGTGCAGAGTGATAGCTCAAGTGGGTGAACCTCTCAGAACTGAGGGAGAAATGAGGATGTACCTCAAGTATAATGGTGCAAACAACCACTAACGTGATTTTGATACCAATCACAGTAATTTCAACAAAGGAGTTGTCCTACCTTTGATTTGCTCTCCTTCTCCTCCTGGTTGGTTTCATTAAAGCCATTTATAGAGATTTGCAGCAGTCCTGTTTGAAGTGCTGTCGTCAGGATTTTTATTTTCAGTCACATCAGAAATGGTCTTACAGCAGGCTGGTTATGTTTCACAAAAGGATCTGTAACATGTGGCCATCACTCACTGACAGAGGTGTTTTAGACAGGCTGGTCCTGCTGGTC